TCATTTTGTCCCATTGATAAGCATATCTTAAAAAAAAAGAAAAAAATGGCAGTTTCGTAGATTTTAATTTTCAAAACCGTGTTTTGTGAGTCTGAAACGCTTAAGTTTTTCCTGAGAAAAGTTTTCCATTCTTGTATAGAAAAGCCCTCTATGTTTTGTGAACATGAGAAAAGAGAAATTGGTCCGGTAATTTTGAACTTCATTTTAATTCCCCTTTTAGAAGTGGCCCAGTTTTTACTGTTTTGAAAATATCTAGACATGTTCCTGGGTGTAAAAGAAGCATTGCAAACTGAGTTAACGGGTGTAACCACGTAGCAGGTAGATACGTTTCGAATAACACAATACGAAAATTCATTCTAAACCAGATAAATATAATATTTTTTTAAGTTTATTGAATATTCTCAGGATATCGTTGGGAAAAAGTTTTGGAAATAAATATCGTGCCGAAAATTTTTTGGGAAAGGAGATGTTGAATTTTGCCAGTTTTTGGTACTCGTGAGTTTAGCCACAATTTGAGACAAGTGTTGGCTTGAATATATTAAGCAACTTTTCCCGGATACATGCGTTTTATTTCGTTATCATTTAAAACAAACATTCCTCGGCTATGTATCGAGATGATGGGTCGTATTTTGTACGATAATGCACATTGCTTTAGTTTTGTTACTTGCGTTCAAAATATACTGATTATTTTCATTATTAATTCGTGGGTATTGTCTTCCTAGATTGGTTATATTCGTACCTCAAACCACTACATCAGAGAGTAAGAAAAATACCTTACTGGAATAATGGAACATCAGGTAACACACCTTTGCGATTTCTTGGCATTTCACATAATGGAGTCCCGCATAGATTCATTTTAGGGCTTTTCTCTTTCAACTATACGTGAACGATAATGCCCTCGACGATTAGAATGGGAATAACATTTCTCTTTGCGGACGATACGAATATTCTTTACAATAAAGAAACCATAATAGTACAATAATAGATTAATTTCAAACTGTTTCCGTAAGAACAACATAATAGTAAATGAAAAGGAAACGGTTTCAATGCAGTTTTCATTCAATAAACATCTCTGTACTCCATTGAAAATGAAACATCATTGACTTGATGTTTGGTAACAAAATTTTTAAGGTCTTTCAATTCAAGTCAAACCTTAAATGGAACGTCTAAAATTTAAATGAATTGAAACACTAAAAAAGTTTCTTTATGCTCCGCTTTCAGAATTCTTTCAAATTCAGCCAGTCTCCACACTGCTTCGTTGAGTATCATTTATCGAAGAGAAATGTTATTCCCATTCTAATCGTCGAGGGCATATCGTTCACGTATAGTTGAAAGAGAATAAGCCCTAAAATGAATCTATGCGGGACTCCATATGTAAATGCCAAAGAATCGCAAAGGTGTGTACCTGATGTTCCATTATTCCAGTAAGGTATTTCTACTCTCTGATGTCGTGGTTTGAGGTACGAATATAACCAATCTAGAACAATACCACGAATTAATAATGAAAAATAATCAGTATATTTTGAACGCAAGTAACAAAACTAAAGCAATGTGCATCGTAAAAATACGACCACATCATCTCGATACATAGCCGAGAATGTTGTTTTAAATGATAACGAAATAAAAGCATGTAATCCGGAAAAAGTTGCTAATATATTCAACCAACACTTTTCTAGAATTGTGGCTAAACTCACGAAGGAACCAAAACTGCAAAATTCAACATCATTCCTTTCCCAAAAAATTTTCGGCACGATATTTATTTCCAAAACTTCTTCCAACTATATCCTGAGAATATTCAGTAAACTAAAAAATATATATATTTATCTGGTTTAGATGAATTTTCGTATTGTTTATTGAAAACGTATCTACCTGTACGTGTTTACACCCATTAACTCACATTTTCAATGCTTCTTTATACCCAGGAACATGTCTAGATATTTTCAAAACAGTAAAAACTGGGCCACTTCCTAAAAAGGGGAATAAAAATGAAGTTCAAAATTACCGACCAATTTCTCTTTTCTCATGTTTCACAAAAACATTAGAGAGGCTTTTCTATACAAGAATGGAAACTTTTCTCAGGAAAAACTAAGCGTTTTCAGACTCACAACACGGTTTTAGAAAATTAAATCTACGGAAACTGCCATTTTTTCTTTTTTTTAAGATATTGCTTCATCAATGGGACAAAATGAAGCACTATGGAATATTTTTAAATCTTTTGAAAGCTTTTGACGTTATTGACCATAAAATCTTGCTATCAAAATTACCTTATGAAATCCGTGGTATCGCCCTAGATTGAACCTTATACCTTAAAAATCGATCTCAAAGAGTAGAAATACCGTACTGGCACGAAAGGACATTATTTACTTATCTTTCTAATTCTTTACCTACTGAATATGGGATCCTGCAAGATTCGATTTTAGGTCCTATCCTCTCTCTGTTATACGTAAACAATATGCCCTCGTCAATAAAAACGAAAGAACAGTTCTGTTTACCGATGACACGAATGTTCTTTGCAAAAAAGAAACAATAAATAGTACGATTTCAGAAGTCTCAAATTGGTTTTGTAATAACAAATCGATAGATAACGAAGTAAAAACAGTTTTTATAATTTTTGCATTTCAAATCAGGAATATCATGCTCCATTGAAAATGAACAATATGCAATTAGCTAATGTTAAGGTAAGAAAATCTCTATGTCTCTCAATTCAGTCAAACCTCAAATGGAATGTACATATAACAGAATTAAACACTAAATTAATTTTATTATGTTACGTGTTCAGAATTCTTTCAAATTCTGCCAGCCTTCATGAATCTCGATGTACAGAGAAGGGAGAAGAATCCCTAGAACGGTGGAGGGGGTGCATGAGCGGAAAGGCCCTTCTCTATACAAAGCACCGGGCCGGGAGGTGCCCGGGAGGGGGGTGGCGCTGGTTGGTAGGGAGGAAGTGGAGGTTGACAAAATTAAAAGAATTGCATTGCACATACTTTTCATTAATACTAAATTTCTATTCTACGTTGGTGTGATGACATATCACAAATGAAATATATTAATTATACAGAAATGAAATTAAATGAATGACACAAAATGGCTCGATTATACGTTACTTCTATGAGAGCTCCTCACCGTGAAGGTGACGTCGTGAAGGTTGGTCGAGCCACGCACTACACTTCCATGGGCGTACGGCGTTGCCGATTACCTTAAGCTGGTTCACTGCGGCATGCGTGGACCTCAGCGGTGCTCCTCTCCCGGGCGAAGCGGGAATACGGGCGTCCCACACAGCTCTTGTTACAGGGAGAGTCTGTCCCGCAGCTTAGACACGGACCGGGACCTAGGTGGGCCTGACAGCAGGAGTGTGCGTGCGTGCTGCTGGTCTCTCGCCAGCAGGTGACTGACGGTGTGTGAATCGGCTCTGCCCGTACCGCACTGCAGTACCCGCCGATGGCTGGTTCACGATTATTTGCGGTGACAACCCCTTTAGTGGCTGCTCGTCAATGACAGAATAGCGCACTCAACGCACTGATATACGTGTCGAGGGCAGCGTTTTTTACGTGCGCGAAGCGCAAAACATGAAATGTGATCGTGAGCGCGGAGACTGCTCAACCTAAAGGCGTGGGGCAGGCGGTGTGGCCTGTGCCTCTCGCGGTGGTTCTCGCAAGTTGACCCGGGGACAAGTGTACGTGCCATTTGGAGGCTGCAGCCCCCTTCGGGGAAAGTGTGGGTGGTCGCCAGGTCGGGGGAGGCCGGCGCTCCGGGTGGGCAGCTGTTGGTGCGCCGGGCGCACCCGGCGGGAGTGGCCGCCTCCGGAGAGAGGGAGTGACCACCCGCCTTTATGTGAGGTGTTTGTGTTGTGGACAGAACACTCGTTGCGTGTATTTTGCAAATGTGCATTCCAACCTGACATATGGCATAATATTCTTGGGAAACACATCATGTAGTACCCAATCCTGTATAATGCAAAAGAAAAGTATTCGAATAATGAAAAAATGTCATCCACGTGATCCCTGCAAGCCTCATTTCATAGAGCTTGGAATCTTACCATTGCCTTGCCTATTTATTTACGAATCTGTGATATTTGTCAAAACTTACTTACTTAACGGTAGGAACATATTTTCATGCAATACTGATATTCGTAATTATACCACTCGTAGAAATTACATTCATCAAGTGTTACGAACAGCTCACTACCAGAAATCCACATACAATACATGTACGTTACTTTACAACACATTGCCAGATGACATTAAACAATTGAAGTCGGTTCACAAAGTTAAGTTAAAAGTAAAATATTTTCTGCTGCATAACTGTTTCTATACAATTAGTATCTATACTTTTTAACAAAAAGAAAACTAATGTTTTTTTAAAAAAAACAGTGATATACAATGAATGATTTTACATTTGTATTATATAATTTTCTTAAAAATGCTTAATAAGCTTTTAACAAATAATGTACTAAAGCTTCCGAGTCAATGACCTCCATCTCGATCAGGTTTTTGCCCAGTTTTCCTGATACATTGAACAAATGATGAGATGTCCCCTTGTTTTGCATCTGGACATAAATGTAGCTTCATTATGCGCACTATTTTGCTGAACTCTTTTTGCTTGTGTTTCGTTAGCGTTTACCGTTGCAAATAAGTTTTCTATAACTCGGGAACAAAAATGTTTAGTTTTTGTGTCGCTAATCTCGCGATTTTTAAAAATTTTGTTTTTATTTATTTATTTTTAACTTTTACTCATCTTTCTACTATTTATAGTTAAAATGACCGGAAGGGATTCTGGAACTCAAGAAAACATGCGCTGATTATCTTCTCTTCCGTACGTCATATATACGTGCGCATTTGACTGAAAATAATATTTAAACTCAATAAGCATAAAAGCCAGTTTATTACTGAAGGTGGAATAACTGATGCCTGTGATCTGTATACTGTTTGATACGATTTGATATCATGATAGTTCAAGAACTCTCATGTAGAGCGCTCCCTTTTCAGGACAGAAGACAAGTCAGAAAGCGCATGGGACAGACGCACAGCAGACGCATGTGAGCGCATGGGAGTGCCGGGGAGTGCGATTGGCGGGCTATGCGTAATGGTGACCCGATGGGGACTGACACTTGTTAAGTGGTCACACAATTTTGCTTGTGGGTTATGATATGTCGATGACATATGTAGATTTCAAAATTCTATGAACATGTCGAGGTATAACGAATTAATTGGTCTCCTGAGAGATATAGATCACTGTACTGGCATTGTGAAAAAGGTTAGTTTAGAGACCTTGGTTTAGAACTAGATAAAAATGAAGTGTTTAATGTTGCTTTTTAATTTTTTGTGAGTATATTTGTGTTTTCTCTAGCCTGTCTTTTAATAGTAATAATTATCATAAAAGTGTGTATTTAATATAAACATTCTTAATAACAACTGGGCATTTTCCTTTGTTCTACATAAGTTTAGATGAGAGTAATAATTAGTTCTAATTCTTTGAAATATTGTTTGTCATATAGAAAACTGTGGACCAATTGAAAGAAGTTTTAAATGATGACAGTATAGTTCAAAGATTGAATGTTAACTCTGAATCTAATGCAAAAGGGAACCTTGATTGGGATGTATTATTTTGTACACTCCACAGCACTTTATTAAAGGTAAGTTTATGGATATTTATAAATGGCCTTCTTCTTATGGCACATTTGTTATTATTTGGCTTAT